GATGTGGGGTCTGGTGTGGGGTTGGGATCCCTTGCTCATCAGGGGGAACTTCCTCAGCAAAGATATCCCTCCTGATTTTTATCTACCACATATGGATGTTGGACCAGCTCGTTCCAAGTCTCCGTCCCTCCTACCAGTCTTCACATGGCTTCTTCTGCATATTCTTAGTTCGAGGACTTCAGTTTTGCTAGATTTCAGGAGGTGCTCAATGATGGTTATTCTGTAGCTTAGCTGTAATTTTGATTGTGAAAGCATTAGAGTACCACATTTACCTACACCACCATCTTGATCAGAACCCTGGAGAATTTTAATATTGCAAATTTCCCTTAAACATGAAGAGATTCTGACTATCATGGCTGAGGTGAATCTCAGACATCTACACATTGAAAACCTCCATGGAATTGAGAGCCTCTAAACTGATAAACTGTTGCTATTCTTAAGCAAACAACATTAGATATTGTAGGCAGGTATTTACTTTATAGGCTAAAGAAAGAATAAAAGAAAATAGCAAAAAATGCACCAAAGAATGGTTCTTGATTATGTGGCTAATTTATTACAGAGACTTGAAAACTGGAGAGGCCACAGCAGGACCACAGCTTGATAAATATTTGGTTTGTTTAGAAGAATATGAGACTGTCATTAATCTTTTAAGAAGATTAAATGAGGAGGAGTGAGAAGACAGGAAGTGCAGCTTGCTACTAGCTAGAGAGTGTTTATGGCTTGAGAATATGTTTAAGTTATAAGGATTTAGCTCATGAACCCAGCCAACACCCAGTAAAACCTGATACAAGTAATTCATTTAAGGCAAAAATCATTCCTGGTACATTCCACCCCTGGAACTAGTTTGGCTTTCTGAGGTTTGGAAAAGATTTTTTTTGGAATTCACATAATCCAGTGATTTCCTGTTGATACAAAAAAATTATTAAATCATAATGTCTTGGTGTATTTTAGAGATCTCTAGGTGATTCCATTGTGCAGCCAAGCTTGGGGGCCAAGGACATAAACTCTTCTTAACATTGATGACCCAACCTAAAACCACAGCTATAAAAATGAGTTTGTCTATCTTCATTAGTTGAGTTTGCCACCTGCTCAGGCCCATCCTTCTACTGATCTCTCAGTTTAGGTTAGATCACTTTTTTCCTCCCCACACCCCACCATACCTATGTTAGCATCTGCTGGTGGATCCTAGTCTATGATTCTTATTTCACAACTTTGATCATGCCATTGCCTTGCTCAAAATTTTCTAATGAACCCCTACACCCCCTTTACACACACACACACACACACACACCTGGAGCTTTCTAACCTACATACAGGTATCACCTGGGAACTTGTCGAAAGATACAACTCCAGGGCCTGTCCAGGTCTACTGACTTAGACTATATTTTAATAAGACCCTCAGGGGACTTGTATAAGCATTTAGTTCGAAAAGTACTGCTTTAGAATACTATTTCCAAAAGTATCTTTTGAAGGACACTCTCAAGGACAGAGAATCTATATCTTGGATTCAAAGCCACACATTTCTCTTTCTTTACAGGACATTTGTTCATTCAAAAAATATTTACTGAGTGACAACTATGTTGCATATTATGATGGGGTTAGAGGATCCAGAAGTGAAGACAACAGAATTGGTCCCCACATTCATAGACTTACAATCAGCAAGGGCATTGTTATCAAGAAAAGAAAAATAAGGGAGTGTCATGAAGGAGACATGTGGGATGCTATGGGAAAATCTAGTTAGTGAAGTGGATGGGGAGGGTCTAATGCAGTTTGGGAGATGTGAGCATCATCCTGAAGAAAGGCTGTTACAGCAGGTCCCTGTGATGCACAAACTGAGGGCTCAGGAAGGAGGGGCAGCTAAACACAGCGCCAGCCTCACACACCTCACACGCAGCAGGTACAAAGGCTTGGACAAACTACAGAAATGCAGGCCCAGTGGCTACTCCATGAAATGTATTGTTCTAACCATTTTCCTTATATTTAGGTGCTTTACAGATGTGGAAACTGAGGCAGAGAAAGATTATGTAATTTATCCACTATCACAGAGCAAACTTTAGAATTCCACTCTGGCCACCTAGTTCTATCATCGATGTTTTTAGCCAACACACTCTACAACATTTGAATCCTAAAGAATACAATGTGTTCAAGAAGCTGAAAAAACACACCACACATCTAGAGTTCAAGCAGTGTTTGCTCATGTATCTATGGTCCTTTTTTATTATAAGGGGAAGAATGCATCACCATTTAGCAACATCTTCTTACAACTCAAACTTCTAACGAACACCCCCTAGTTACTGAATCAGAATTTCTGGCCATGGAGCTGAAAATATGCATTTTAATAATTCTTCCAAGTGATTTAGTGACATTAAAGATTGAGAAGCATAGGTTTAGAGATACTATTTCTGCCAATAATCTCCTCCCCCTCAAATAACCCATGGTTACTTAATAATATACAGGGGTGGCAAATGTAGGTTTACAATTGTTCATATGGAAAAATATATAAATACAAGAATAAATATTAATACAAGAATAAACTTTGTTTCATGTACTCACAAATGTAAACCTACTTTTGCCTATCTCTCTACTGGTCCCAAGATATAAACTAAACATGAAGGTAAACAGAATTGAAGTGAAAAACTAGAAGAAATCTGATAATTGAATCTTTGCTCCTCCAGGTCCCTTGACTGCCAGGCTGTGAAAGGAATTATCTAGGCTTGAAAAACTGGAGGCAAAAAGAGATCACAAAGGGTTAGAACTATTTTCATTTCAATGCCAACATTTAAATGATTAAGAGAATTTTGGGAAATTGGAGTAAAATTTTATATTGCTGGAAGAGAGATTATTTCATCTGCCCTATGATGCCTCCATCCTTAGCCAGTGCTAGGAGAAGACCCTCAGGCGGCAGAGGGAATTTTCTTGCAATAGCAGTAGCTGAAGTAATCTTTGGCCATGAGGGTGCACTGGCTCAGCAAAGCTAATATAGCTCCTGAGGGTCATTGGACCTTGACAGTTCCACCACCAATATCCGGCTGTCAACTGGGTATTATTTGTAATTCAGTTTTTTTCTTTCTTATAACCATTTAACAAAGGAATTATGCTCATTTTTCTTGGGAAAGAAACTAAAAGAAATAGCTGAACCTCAATAAGAATCCGTCATCACAGATTATTTTACCTTTGTCATTTTTCCCAATCTTTAAGAGCTGGATTGTTTTTCAGGTTCAATACTATTAAAATTCCAAAAGCCAGTTTCCTAGATGCTGCTTTTCAGATGGTTAAAATATAGACCATAGCTTTTCTGTCCCACTCTGTCTAAACTGTTTATTCAGTTCACTTATGTCAGAACTTCATTCAGAAAAATAAGTTTGGGAGGGTTTCTAGAAGAGATTGTTGTTTCCAACCCTTGAAAGATCAGATAAATATTTTACTGTACTTTCAAAGTTCTTTTGTACTCAATATATTTATTTCTGATTCTATCCATAAGCAAAGCTCATTGGATGCTACGTTTTTAATGCTGTGACAAAGGATCATTAAGAAGGGGAAATGGCACCATTACAAAAACTATGTCTGGTGCCCCATTGCTGCAAACTGAAACACTGATGATACAATCTGCAACAGCTCTCACTACCTCTTTGCCAGTCACTGAGAGGAGGTTTGAAATGGCCATCAGATCTACACCAATGCTGGCCACACTGTCATGTCACTCCCATCAAGATGCGTGAGAGTCAAAGTACATTTGGGAGACCCCAGATTCACAGGGCTGAATTTTGCACAGAAAGGTGTTAATTCTCTCAATCTCTGTGATGGATTCTCTCTTCACAGAACAACACACTTCCTTCCCTTCCTCCGGGAGTTTAGTGGAGCAATAGTGAGGACCAAGCCCTGCTTCAGAGGACATGACTATTAAGAGGGATGTGTGGTTGAGACCCAAATTCACTCTGGGTACTAAGGTTAATATTCTTCTCATCCTTCCTTTTTTTGGATGTGCCTTTTCTTGCTGTGACAATGGTAACATCTACAGGACCAAGGCTAAGGTGTGGGGCTCAGGAAGAGCAACTATATTATTAACTGCTGGTCTTAGGCTTAAATGGAGCTTTGGGGCTAGGGGCATTTATATCTCCATGTGGACTAGCTCATCAGGGAACTGTAAGTATGGGGGGGAAAGGCCTGTTCTAAGAAAGAGTGCTTTTGTGTGCTCATTAGGACTTGGTATCAAGGGCTCTGGATCACAGGCCTTTAAATACACCCAGGTGTATAAAACATAACCCCTAAAATAAGGAAATACAAATCTTATATTGCCAATTTCTGTACCTGTTCAACAATTTTAAAAGTATCTGCACTTGCCTGGCTGGCTTGGCTCAGCGATTGAGAATCGACCTATGATCCAGCAGGTCTCGGTTTGATTCCCAGTCAGGGCACATGCCCGGGTTGCGGGCTCGATCCCTAGTCAGGGGCGTGCAGGAGGCAGCCGATCAATGACTCATCATTGATGTTTCTCTCTCTCTCTCCCTCTCCCTTTCTCTCTCTGAAATCAATAAAGAAGTGTGTGTTTTTTAAAAAAAGTATCTGTCCTAGTTCTTCTACAGGTTTATATTTATCAGTGACATAAGCATAGTACTGAAGGCCCTATATTCTAATGAAGACACCTAGAGTCCAGCTCCAAGCACACAGGAGCAACAAAGAAATTGGGGTGGCGATGAGGTTTTAGAAGGAACCACACGTGACAGGCTCAAAATGCCACAACAGGGTTAGCAGAAGGTAAGTTTGCCTGCGATGCATGCAAGTGAAATGATGACACCTAACAACTGAGTATGTGCCCCCTGACTGGTTCTGATGGACCTGAAATTTAAGACTTCATTTATGAATTTTACAAAGCTTGTTCCCAGGGTGGCATGCAGGTGAAAGAGAAGGGCGCTCACACTCCACAGTCTCCCACTGATCCAGGGTGGGAAAGCAAGCGGGTGGCTAGGAAATGAAGCACTAGGAAAGCAGCATCCACCTACCTGGGCGGCACAGCCTCGGGCAGGGCGTCCACTCGCTGAACGCAGTCACTGCACAGTCTTTTTTGCACGGGAGCAGGCACGGGCGCACCGTTTCAGGCCGGGTGGAATCTGGACATCTGTCAATGTGAACAGACCATATCAGTGCCTGCTGGGGAGAGCAGAGCTTTAATATAGAGCCATAGGACTTCAGGACAGAGAACTCTGCGCTGTTGGTTTTTATAGACGGGGAAAGACAGACCCAGGGAGGTGGAGCTACACACCCTGCCCGAGGGCTCTCAGCCAGACACAGAGCAGAGGACTCCAGCTGTCTAGGCCCAGACACCAAAATACTTTCCCCTAGACCAGGAAAAGAGCAACCCCCGAAACTAAAGACACATGTCAAGAACGTGCCTCCCCATCAGCATCAATGCAAACAACATTTGATTTTTTTCAGAACGAGCATATGTTCTTTGAGAAGTATTTTATTCCTGGTAATATATCAAATCACTGATGTCACCCACAAGGAAGGGGAGCATGCAAGGCAATCTATAGATAAACTGGGAAAGAAAAAAATCATTCAGGACCACTTGAATATATTATACACCTTTGATTATCGGCAGGATTTTGCTATAGTTAAATCATTGTCAGATGTCTCTTTGGAACATGTAGATTGATGAGGTGGAGAAAGTGAGATATGACGGCCTGCAGGTAACATGAGGACCAAGGGGCATCAACAGGAGAAACACTTCAATTCTGTTATTTTCTTGATAATTCATTTAATGCTCATACTTTGGAGGGAAAGTAATACAAACAGTAGATGGACTCATATCACTTGGAAGAACTAAAGTCTCAGAATATGGCAAACAATTTTTGTGTGTTTTTTTTAATGACTACACAAGGCTAAAAACCACATTTATTATCTTCTAAAACAGTGATATGCCAAGAAGAAAAACAGAAAAGCATGCCCTAACATATATTTGCATTTTAAATTCTGTTTCCCGTAAGTTTCTAATACAGCAAGGAGAGGCAGTGTGTATAAAGCCGAACAGTGTGAGTGTGGTATTAGATGCCCAGTGCTGAGTTGTGCTCTGCCTACATTCTTTCATTTATTCCTGATGACACAGTGAAAGGCATTATAATCTTATTTTCAGGTGATAAAACCGAGGTGCTAAAATGATTAGAAATGGGCCCAAAGCCACACGGGGACAGAGCACTTCAGAAAAATTATAGAGACAACACCAGGTCTAGCAAGTTCAAACAGATAATTAAAAACCTTCCAGTAGGAGAGAACAGAAAATGTAGCAGATAAAATTAACTAGAAAATAATGGATTGAAAAAAACAAAGAGCTAATGAGAGCATGATGATTCAGATAAAAAGTCCACCAATTATATCACAAAATTATCACCATGCAAACACAGAGATTGTCCAAATTTCAAACACTAAGAAAGGGAAGGGAAGAGAGGATAATGGTTGGGGAGAAGGGGAAGAAAAATAGGTCATCTAGAAAGGGAGAAGACTCTGAGTGGTATTAGGCATCAATTTACAGTTATAAAAATAAAAACATTTTCTTAATTTTAAATCTTTAGAAACAATACATAGACAAAGCATGGCAGACTGCATTTGGCTGTGGAACCGAATGTACATGATGTCATTCTTGCCCTCATAAGGCGAAGACACAGTGGGCAAAGGACGGGAGAGGGAAGGGAGAAAGGGGAAAGTCGGAGCTTGGGTGCCCTCACCTAACAAAGCAAGGGGTCAAAGAGCCAATCGACACATAAAAAATAACAAATAAAGTCAACAATATGGGGAGTCGGTGGAGGAATTAGTGTGAATGGGCTAGATTCATTGTTTTCATGAGAGGAATCAATGAATGGACACTTTAAATAGAGAAATTAATAGATATATAAATGATATGCGGAAAATATGTGATGTAGCATTAGGAGCTAAACCTCAGAAAGAAAGGGCAATTTTATACACACACACACACATGCACACACACATATATATATACACAGTTGGGCTGGCTAGTATTGACATAAAAATACAATGAATAGATAAGAAACTAATAAAGTGGTAGCCAGTAGCAGGGCAAGAGGCAAGGAAGGAGAACAGGAGTGTGTTAAGCTTCTTGTTGTTATTATTATATGTCTCCTTGTACAGTGGTCCCTTGGTTTTTGAATGTAATCCAGTCTGGAAGATGGTTCGAGTTCTGAAACGTTCGAAAACCGAGGGATCAACAGCTGACAACGAGGCCTCAGGATCTTGCCCTCAGCGGAAGCCGCGTGACATGTTCGACTTCCGAGGCGTGTTCGAAAACCGAGGCATTTCCTTCTGGGTTTATGGCGTTTGTAACCTGAAATTGCTTGTCAATGGAGACATTCAAAAACCGAGGTACCACTGTATATTGTTAAGATGTGTGAACCGAGTGAAGGCTTACTAGTCAAAATAAAGAGAGAAGGGGGAAGAAAACCATAGCAACTAGTAAGAAATGGTTGTATTAGGGATGTGGGGTATTAAGTGGCGGAGATAGTTGGGGACCAGTTGCTTTCCATCATCAGTTCTTTCCATCGTCAGCAAATAAAATATATTATTTTAGTTCTACTATGGAGCATATCATACTTTGATGAAAATGAAAACATATATACTCACAGGAAAAGAATCGTTCAATTAATTATTAATGGCATTATTATTAATCATGCTTAACACAAACATAAACTTGTCTATCAAATAATTCAATTCATATAACAATATAAACAAATAGACAAACATATAACAATAGAAACAAAAAAAGACTGTTCTTGAAGTGTCTTTATGAGAACATAGTGTTATTTAAACAAGCTACTCTGGTAAGGAAACTTTATGTCATACTTTAGTAGAGAAAGCAAAAAACACTAAAATCATTCCCAAGTCATTTGTTCACACTCTGAAATACACTAAAATTAAGTTGAGCCGCTATCTATTCTAACTCCCCTCCAGCCTCTCCTAGAGTGTGGCTGGAAGTGGTAGTGTAACCTGAGAAAAGCCAACTTCCAGGGTGCCCTGTGGGGCGGGAGGGGGGCCCGCACCGACGCAGTGCACACTCACTCACACCCCCCGAAGAGCTCAGGACTGCTTGTGGCGCCAGCTGTAGCCTGGCTGGAGAGGGTGGCTTCCACTGCAGGGCCTCGCTCACTTCAGGTTGCAATGGGTGTTAATCTCCCTAGGGCACTGATATACCCACTTTCTTTACACTTTGTTAGCATCGCTCACAATAAATTCGCACTGAGCCTGACGTCAGCTCTCCACAATGTGGCCACTTTTCTCTCTGTGCTCTTCCACTAAGTCCCTAAGAGGGAAATGGCATCATCTCCTCAGTGGCAAAGGTCAAGCTCAGGTTATGTGGCTTTTATGGAGGCCGTGAACTCAGGCCTTTCCAGGAATGTGATCTCTGGTCTAATAGGAGCCAACTATTCCTCTGTCAGCGAAACTGTCTTCTTGCTCATTTCTTCTGCCAAAATGTTGGCCTTTTCTTCAGGTATTTACTTCCTCTTCTTTTCAATTTACACATTGTCTACTGCTTCAAGGATCGTCACATTTCCAGTTTTCATGAATTTCCTCGTAGTCTTTAAAAATATTCTCCTTGAGGCCCTGGCTGCATAGCTCAGTTGATTAGAGCAGCGTCCTGATACAGGAGGGTCAGGGCACATTCAAGAGGCAACCAATGAGCACATAAACAGGTGGAACAGCAAAGTGACGTCCCCCCCCTCCCCTTTCTCTCTCTCTCTAAGGTTTTATTTTCTGTATTGTTGTATTGCCACTGACTGAAAAACAGCCTTTGACAAGTTTCATGCTGCTGATTTGTTGCATGTGTACAAATGTGCACACATGTGCATGCAAAATACATACACTAACTTTGAATGTTTTGATGACAGAATCACATCTGATGTCATGTCTTAAAAAACCAGATTCTAATGCAAGGCAAATATTAGTAACAGTAAGTGAATGATTGAATTGTATTCTATTCTATTGGAGCCTGAAGACAAATAAATCCCTGGGAATATTAGATAAATGTATCCAGCCATTTGCAAAACAAAATTGAAGCCTTAAAATTCAAGGGAACATGGATTCACTTTTTAGTTAGTAAACTAAGTATGACCCTTGGCTTTTGTCCTAATTTATACTTCCAGCTTTCCTGTTATATGCTGATCCTGGATTGGCTGTGCTCTTGGTAAAAGGGGGAAGGCATTTCATTAGGACATGTATTTTCCTGGACTTGCACTGGAATATTCCATGACTGTCTCTTGGTCACCCTGTAGGCTAAATTTCCTTATAAGCACTGTGCTGAAATGCATTAAATTGAGCTACAAAGCCCTGTCACTTTTCCGTTTGTTTCCATAACTAAGATGCAGGCACACCTGCTCCATCTCCTTGAGCAGTTCTCCGACCCCAGAACTGAAATTCCAGCTCACTCAGTGAAGGGGGCAAACCTGACAACTTTTAATCATTAAATGCTTAACTGGAGCTTTACATTCCTATATCTCACAAAATGCCAGGCGTTTTTACGTTAAAGGCAGAAAGTGACATAGCAGGACCTTTGGAAGTCTTTGAGTCATGCCTTTTTAATCTTTATTATTATTTTTCTACATTGCAGCTGGAAAAAAGCACTGAATCACAAAACCAACCAAACAAAACCCCAGAAATATACCAACAAGCTCTCACTTCTGTTTCGGTTGTGCCCAAGCTAGTTCTCATTTTCTGATATGATCAGTTCTATTACTCATACAATGGTTACATTCTCACCTACACAACTGCGTGGAAACCAAAACACCAACCCAGGGAAGCAAGAACCTGCAAGGAGCTCTGTGCATCCCAGTGCAGTGAGTTCAGAGATAAAATACATTATGTTAGCCCATCTAGTCCTTGGAGATGAGCTTCTTTCCTCCCACCTAACAGCCATTGAAGAATTTTAATTATCTTTTTAAAGATACTTTCTTCTCCTTTACCATTTCTCTTGCCCCACCCCCACCTCAAGGATTTCACAAATGGCAGGAGATCTTTTTCCACTGCAGTGGCTTTTTCCACATGAAAAAAACACACCAAAATATGTATTTTTTGTAAGAGCAGAGAAAATAACATTTTCTACTGTTGATAATCTCGGTATCTCACAATACATTTCACTGGACAGTAGTTATTATTTTCTTTGCTCAATTAATCTCATTAACCTCAAGAATTTTAATTAACTTTACTAAAGTCAATCAGGCTCCTTATGCTTAGCAAGATTGTTTGGAGACGTACAGTAAGAATTACAATTAGGTTAAGTCTCCAGCCTCATTAACAGTGCAAAAGTAATTAGTAATACCTGTGTGTGTGTGTGTGTGTGTGTGTGTGTGTGTGTGTGTCTGTGTGTCTGTGTGTCTGTGTGTNATCCTGGATTGGCTGTGCTCTTGGTAAAAGGGGGAAGGCATTTCATTAGGACATGTATTTTCCTGGACTTGCACTGGAATATTCCATGACTGTCTCTTGGTCACCCTGTAGGCTAAATTTCCTTATAAGCACTGTGCTGAAATGCATTAAATTGAGCTACAAAGCCCTGTCACTTTTCCGTTTGTTTCCATAACTAAGATGCAGGCACACCTGCTCCATCTCCTTGAGCAGTTCTCCGACCCCAGAACTGAAATTCCAGCTCACTCAGTGAAGGGGGCAAACCTGACAACTTTTAATCATTAAATGCTTAACTGGAGCTTTACATTCCTATATCTCACAAAATGCCAGGCGTTTTTACGTTAAAGGCAGAAAGTGACATAGCAGGACCTTTGGAAGTCTTTGAGTCATGCCTTTTTAATCTTTATTATTATTTTTCTACATTGCAGCTGGAAAAAAGCACTGAATCACAAAACCAACCAAACAAAACCCCAGAAATATACCAACAAGCTCTCACTTCTGTTTCGGTTGTGCCCAAGCTAGTTCTCATTTTCTGATATGATCAGTTCTATTACTCATACAATGGTTACATTCTCACCTACACAACTGCGTGGAAACCAAAACACCAACCCAGGGAAGCAAGAACCTGCAAGGAGCTCTGTGCATCCCAGTGCAGTGAGTTCAGAGATAAAATACATTATGTTAGCCCATCTAGTCCTTGGAGATGAGCTTCTTTCCTCCCACCTAACAGCCATTGAAGAATTTTAATTATCTTTTTAAAGATACTTTCTTCTCCTTTACCATTTCTCTTGCCCCACCCCCACCTCAAGGATTTCACAAATGGCAGGAGATCTTTTTCCACTGCAGTGGCTTTTTCCACATGAAAAAAACACACCAAAATATGTATTTTTTGTAAGAGCAGAGAAAATAACATTTTCTACTGTTGATAATCTCGGTATCTCACAATACATTTCACTGGACAGTAGTTATTATTTTCTTTGCTCAATTAATCTCATTAACCTCAAGAATTTTAATTAACTTTACTAAAGTCAATCAGGCTCCTTATGCTTAGCAAGATTGTTTGGAGACGTACAGTAAGAATTACAATTAGGTTAAGTCTCCAGCCTCATTAACAGTGCAAAAGTAATTAGTAATACCTGTGTGTGTGTGTGTGTGTGTGTGTGTGTGTCTGTGTGTCTGTGTGTCTGTGTGTCTGTGTGTAGGGAAAACATCTGTGCAATTCGCTTTTCTATGTTGGTAAACTGAACAAAACTGGAAGTTATTCACTGTAATAATAATAGTTTGGTTTCACTTATGTAAATTTTTAAAGAAATGTATATTCATTTGTGAATTATGCTTTAAACTGTAAACTTTTGGTCCTGTCGTTTTTTCAGGGGGCATAAAATACCATTAAGTTAAAAGTTGAGTATCCTGATATGTTCAGACTTTAATATAAAGCTGACGTTCAAAGTAATTATGAGGAAAAAAGGAAATAGAGGACCATCTGAATCTGACTTTTCATGTCCAAATAGCCTTGAAAATGTAATGATAATTTATTTGGTAGATGTCAGTGTCAATTCCAATGCTTCTTTGCTAAGAAATAAACAAATCGTGTTCCCATCAAGGGGACTTCCTGTGTGATTCAGAACTAAGCAAAGTTTTTCAAAGGTAGAAGGTCAGACTTCAAGTTTGCTACATTTTCTCATCACTATAAAGAATATAGTTGCATATCACATAAGACTTATTCCTATACCTACGACCTGCTTATTTGCATTTGTATATTAAAGCTAATATTTCAGGCATCTTTTTTTAAGCAGTTGAACATTTACATCATAAAAATAGCATTATCAAGGTTGTAATCCTTTCCATGATAAAAGGAGTTCTCTTACATAATACCTTTTAAACCATTTAGGATTTTACCATAACCTCAGTAATTAGATAATCACCTAAACTAGGTGATATACAAGCATTCTTGTCCATGTTTAGCTAAAACTCCCATTGATTCAGTCAGTCCTTATGGTGTTATGAATACCAGGGAAGTTAAAACACACAACTGACATAATTTGATGTTTCAAAAACATCACAAGCAATGTAGTATTGGATGCTAAACAGAAACAATATTTATGAGTTATTAAGAGCAGAAGGTCATATGTATGGTAGGTAAAATCTATTTTCGAAGCAAAGAATAAACATCGTCTACTCTCAGTTTCCTGCAATTCATATTCAATCCTTGGCAAACCCTGTTACTTTCCTACACATAGGTCAAGTTAATTCACAAATTCTAAAATGCTTATGGAACACTAAATGCACGCCAGGCACTGTGATAAAGTCTGGGATTCTGACCATGGAGAACATCCAACCCCAGCACTTTGGATGCCACAATTAGGAGGGAAGAGAAATGAGATCTTCTTGACCGTGCTTCACTTCACGTCATAGTTATCCTCACATTTGCAGAGCCAGCTGCTCACCTGATGCTCCAAGACCAGCAGCATCTGGCCAGTCTGCACGATTTGACATTCCTTACACACAGTGTATGTGGTTTCCATGGCAGTGTGGATAAGACCCAGAGCCTGTAATCATGGTGCCCCTAGATGAAATTAATCAGGTGTCTGAGTTGCCCATGGCAGCAACACAAACTGGATTGAATTAGGCAGAAGAGCAAATGTATTTGCCTTGGTTGCCAGGAAAGGCAGGGGTATAATTAAGGAGGATGGGACCAGGGCTCGATGCTGCCAGGATTTTTCTGCTTCTCTGAGCATCAGCTTCATTCATCCCTCCTGCTTTTTCCACCAGGCCTAACCATGGCTATGGAAACTCTCAGTTCATATGCTTAAGGCATCAGGAATAGAAAAAGAGAGGGTTTGCCCAACCGGGCATGGTTGAGCATTGACCGAGGATCCAGGAGATTGCAGTTCGATTCCCGGTCAGGGCACATGCCTGGGTTGTGGGCTCGATCCCCAGTTGGGGGCGTGCAGGAGGCAGCTGATCAATGACTCTCTCTCATCATTGATGTTTCTGTCTCTCCCTCTTCCTTCCTCTCTCTGAAATCAATAAAGATATATTACAAAAAGAAAAAGAAAAAGAAAAAAAGAAAAAGAGAGGGTTTCATTTTCCCATTTTGAAAATTCCTGGGGAACACCTCTAAGTTGCCTAGTTAGCACCAGCCCATCCTGCTGACCCACCACTCCTGTGGCTCCGTGGGGTCTTTCACCACAAAACAGGGACTAGTTCAAACATGGCCCCTTGGACACCTCTGCAGGTAGCCCAGTTACCCAGTCCTGGAGCCTGCATAGGCCTTGCATTTTCTTCTCGACAAGCCTTCCCACATGGACTTGAGGAAGAGTTATGTCTCCTTATCTGGTCTAGAGAAGAAACTCCCAGAGCTGAGCTCTCTATTCAGTTACTCTTTTTCCTCCGTTATTTGCAATTATTCATGACCCTTTTTAATATCTGTATCCTAGTCTCCATGCCTCAAATCTCCTATTGCTTTTTTAAAACTTTACATCTTCGTGTGCAAAGCATGGTATCCATGAGATTGTGAACCTACACAAGGACATGAATTAGTCAATTTAAAATGGCTACATTGATTTATTGCTCACTGCAGAGAAGATCAATGGGACCTAAAGAAGAACATAACACAAACCTATATTTTCAAAGTTCATAAACCACCCTCATGTGGACCTACTCTTTATGTAAGAAAGGATCAGAAATACTGAGATCAGCTCAAGAAAACTGGATTATTCAAACAGATTCCATATTTGTGGGGCTTATGTACTGTTATTCATTAACTAATGCACATTATAACTTAGTAAAGTGTCAACCTTTGTTAAGACATACTTTTTTTAACTTTTAAGAGTGAGACAAAACAAAGCAAATATATATTACTTTAGCACAGACTGAGACATATTCAGCGCTTGAAAAATGCTTTTGACTAAAAATACTCCAATATGCAAAAATCCTCTGCACTTTCACTAAATTATTGATAGTACCTTTTGGTCATCACTTGTCCCACATGACTCTTGACACAAAAGGCCTTCCGTGTCTGAATGCCCACACCACACGTAGCTTCTCCATCCCATCCAATGGTTGCATTAAGGGCAGTAACCGATGTGTCTTCAGAACAGGGGCCCCAAGGCAACGTCTCCCAATAGAGCTGCATACAGGAATGGTCATTGCATGAGCGATATTCTTGGAGGGCCTGAGAAGGGGGGCATGGTTTTCCACCTGCAAAAATCAAAATATAAAAGAATACATAGCTGTTGTTCTTTTTATTAACACGTTGATGTTGTTATTGCTGTTCTTATATTTGTTGTTTTGTTATTTTATGGCCTAGAAAAACAGCCTTTTGACACAGCTTTCCAAAGGCCTGAGCCACTGCACCCTTCTCCTCACCTTTGTCCTGAAGAACAATCTAAAGACAATACGTCACCCCATTCTCTAAATAACAGGGAGCAGGACCTGTCAATTATATTTTAAAAACTAACTGATTCTACTGCCCACCCCTGAGTCATGTATCTCAGAGACAAACTCCAAAGAAATCTGTTTTTATTTTATTACTATGCCTACATAGGTTAGTCAGTTAGATAAAATAACCCATGACCTTGAGCTGCTATTAGATCAAACACACACACACACACACACACACACACATTCTCTCTCTCTCTGCCTATATATGGTCTCTCTTTGCTAAGAGAGCATTATTTTTATCTCAGTACCATTTTAAGACACCCATTCTCCATCNCATTCTCTCTCTCTCTCTGCCTATATATGGTCTCTCTTTGCTAAGAGAGCATTATTTTTATCTCAGTACCATTTTAAGACACCCATTCTCCATCATGCAGCGCATTTTACTACAATTCGAGAAATCCAGAAGTCTTTCTTGTTTGGCAAGAGGAAGCCCATCCTGGACCTCTGAAATCATACTTGACAATGTGTTATCTGCGGGCTGGGAGACCAGGCAGATGTGGATCCTTACACTCTGGGTGAGTCAGACAATCAAATTTCAGTGCTGCCTTTCCTTTCACATGTTTATATCCAGGTAAAAACTGCTATTCATCTAATGCATTACTTTTTCTTCTGTTTTCCACGCTATAATGTTTTATTCAGTGGGCCAAATGCTCAAGAAGATTTGTGACTTTGGTATTATTCTTATTTCCCCCCATTAAATACTACGGGCTTTCCCCCCTCTTTCCAAAATTATGAAAGATGAGAAGGGGACGCAACGGCATCTTAAGAACCTGAGTCTTCGTTCATCTTGACCCTGGCCCCCTTCCTCAGTCACAGACCCGGGCCTTGCTGGGAAGGAGCCCTCGCAGCCTGCGGCCACCCGGCCTTGCTGCTGCAGCGGAGCTGCGGGCAGGCAGAGCCAAGGGGCGCTCAGAGGATGACGCATGTCGCCTGGAGGCAGAGACATCGCTACCAGGGACAGCAACAGCTGCTCCTCTCACTTTTTCTGATGCCCCCGTGTACATCCCCATCGCACGTTAGCTTCCCCAAAGCCATTTTTACAGCCTTCATCCTTTCGCTCTCACTGCACGCCAGTGGGACAGAGCAGAAAGCAGGGCGCAGGGCTCAGCTGGCCGACGAGAACGGCCGTTTCCAGTTAAGAAGCCGTGTCTCTTGGTTCTTAATTTGGAGCCCTTCTTACCAGCTATATTCCAGTTATGTTCCAAAGCACATGAGCTAGTGGAAGCTGGATGTGTATCAAGAAAACTTTGTTTTCTTCCCTAAAAATGTATAATAAAACAATAACATAGGATGGACTAAAACAATTCATGCAAATACTGGCACCCAGCACAGGTGAACTTGAGGGTTAAAGAGAACAGGCGCACAGTGAAAGAAACAGTGTTCATTTGGACTCGAGGAATATAGATGTTACCTAGATGCGGCTATTTCCACAATGCGACCTTCACAGTTACCTATCGGAAAACAGTAATTGCGCAATGGACTCCGTTGAAATATTTATTATTACTCACCTTCTCCAGCCAATGCCAGGATAGTCCTTGACCTGGTCTGTTTCCCATCAGAGTTTTTATATGAACAAGACTGGGAGCAGGGTGACCACTCTGTCCACTCGCTCACCACGCAATCCATCCTGCAGGGAATTTCACAAGCCATCCGTTCAGGAGGAGGAGACGCTGGGCAGAGGTGCCCTGATACGTCTTCCCCTGTAATCAACCAGAACAAGGCAGAAGCTGGTCAATGCACAACCGAGGCCACTCCAAGGAACATTTAGGATCATTGCTTCCTCTATTACTTCAGTTTAGCTTAGAAGACTTCACCTTGTGTCTAAACCAATAAAGTGCAAAAAATGATGGTTTCTCCAGCCATTCATAATATTTGTGTCAAGGAAAACTGCCAGGAGATCACTTGGCATGTAGAAAGGTAGATACACAGCAAAGCTGGCAGTTGTCATCCTTCACAGGGACAAAATGGGCTTCTTCCAGCAATAATGTAGCCATGGATGGCTGGAGACAGACATGATTGATGCATTATTGACAACCATATGTAACAAGTATATGTTTTTTAGCAAAACGGGGGCGTGTAGGCCTGAAAAAGCATAATTTATGTTGAGCATTCTATTCTACCCTATAAAATAGAATTTTACCAACCTAATTTTCTGGTGTGTGCTTTTGCCTCCAAACATGTAACCTTAAGCAAGATTACCACACCATTATTCTTTTATCCTGTTTGTGCACAGTTGCAAATAATCCAAAACTAAAATGGAAATGGATCTGTGGCTAAATTATATAACTTGCTGAGACAAAAGTTGAAAGCCGCTCCAAAATTCTTCCAAATGCATTTACTATTCCTCCTTTGAATGAGCTAATAAGTTACTTAAATGTATGTATACTTATAACACATATTTATACATATTTGTGATATAAATATATATTTACAATTAACAGAAAACATGAACAACAGTGATACCATTTATAGTTTGAAGTAACAATATGAAATATGGAGTGGCAACTATAGGAGAAAGGCTGTTTTGTCTGTGTGACTTTGTGCTATGGAATGCTCTTGTCATAATCTGACATAAAAAATAACTGCAAAGGTTATTAATATTTATAAAGTGTCTCCTTTGTGCCAGGCACTGTCCTAGTAGAAAACTCTTAGAGGCAGGTGTGACCCATCTCATTTTATAGAGGAGTTGTCATTGGCTCCAGAAAGAAAACTTGGTCAGGATCGCACAGGCCTCAGTGAGGAATCAATTTAAAACTTTCTGACTCCAGAAGTTCTGCTTTTCCCATTAACCATGCTGTGTCCAATTCCAAGGAGACGGATATTCCTTTTCTGAGGAAGTAAATAGAACGACCTGACAGTAAGCAAGACTGCCTGGAGGAGATTGTGCACTGCTAATATCTGCATTCATATTTGTAAGTGAGGCCAGGCTCATTGCCCTTGAGGTACAAATAAAACTTCTCAAGCATATTATGAGAAGTAATAGAGATTCTAGCAGATAAGCTGAAAGACCAGTTCCAATCATTCTCTTTTTAGTCTCGATCTAGAGTAAATGAGTCTACACTGTATGTTATGTGAGTGCGCGCGCACACACACACACACACACACACACACACACACACACAAACGGGTAGTGCTTTTAAAAGTACAGAAGGAGGCAGGCCAAACAAAATGCCCAAATTTTACCTAATCAAAATTCAATTTCCACATTTATGAATATTATTAGCATCATTTGTATACAAAACACTTTAAAGCAGTGTCTTGCAAAGAACATTTTGAGGAATAAAATATAAAAAAGGGGGAGGGCTGAGAGGTACTGGGTTAAATTAGTAAAATGGTCTTATTACTGAAGAATTCCTCAGAGTTTTTAAAATGCCAAGGTATAGTGTAAAATTCCTAGGGTAGAAATGGTATGTAGTGTTTTTCAACCTTACTTGACCAGTAGCCATCCCTTTTTAAGGGGCGTTTGTCTCAGAAAATGGTATATTTATGAAAATGTTTTGAGAAAACTTTGCTCTCAAGAGTTATACAATTATCAACTATTTTATGAGCACATAGTGTGTCCATGGTATATTATAGTATGTAAATAGGTGAAAATAACTATTATTTACCCCATTAGACCTCACAGTTAATAACAGAAACTGGCTATAAACACATGAGAAAAAAAATCTCCAAAAGTAAATGCCAAGCCCTGGACTGTGTGGTTCAGTTGGTTGGGCATTGCCCCGTGTACCAAAAGGTTGCTGGTTTGATTCTGGGCAGGGCATATGCCCAGGTTGGGGGCTCAACCCTAGTAGGGGGCATCCAGGAGGCAGCTAATCAATGTATGGTTCTCACATGGATGCTTTTCTCTCTCTCCCTTTAATTAAAAAAAAATCTTAATTTAAAGATCTTTTAAAATTTTAATTGAAACATCTTTAAAAAATGTAGACGCCAAGCTGCAAATGTGTGTTTTGAACAGGAAATACTACAGCAGTTCAGGGAAGACAAGGACCTGTGGGGGTTTAGCATGACAGCCAAGGACTTTCAACAGGGAGAAAGAGAAAGGCTGAGGATTGGCGGCAATGAGGGCGAGCATTTCAGGCATCAAAGTGTCAACAAAGGTATAATGGTAGAAAAATACAAGGGATTTGGAAGACGGTTAATACTGAAGCCACATGAGGAAAAGGGAATGCCTGTGGTGCAAGAGTTATTGGACATCAAATTCTGAATGACTTAGACTGACACACAAGTTGTTACATATTTCTCCCTTCCTCTAGTTCCCAGTTGCTTAGGTTTCCCATTACCCAAATTTAACATTCTCCCTAGTCACCATCCAGCACTCTTAGGATTCACTTTGGGTGCCTGAATGCTTTTTAAAGCCTAAGCTCTCAGATAAACTGGTTCACACATTTCCTTAGTACAGTTCAATGTCAACACTCCACCAACATTTTGATAGCTTGTCTATACAGGCTAATTTAGAAATAAGAGCAAAGAGTAGAGCCTTTCTCTCAGGGAGCCAAACTAATAGTCATAAGCACACTCTGAAATACGTGTGAGCTGTTTTATATAAAATCTTATCAAAAAAAAGAACAACAGCTGCACAATGGGATCCTAGTCACAAAGTGTCCTAGTCTGGCACAGTTAAGCATCTGGATGTGAATTTTAGCACCACTTATCCTCTTGAATATATCAGTTAACATCTTTGAACTTCAGTTATCTCATCTATGATAATAAAATAATAATGTTTATATCTTTCAGGGATATTCTAAGGATTAGAAATCATTTATGCAACATACATAGCAAGGTGTCCAAACACATAGAGGACTTTGAATATATAGGAAAACCTTTAAAAATATCCTTTGCAAAGATGTATAGCACAAAAACCCAATGGCCTTTATCATCTGAAAAATCTAGCCATTTATGCCATAGCCCCAGAAAGCCCTTGCTTTACCATTTGTATATATGTATAAATAACTACCAGGAGCTTCACAGGCTGGTTCACACACAATATAAACACTATTTATAATTTTCCATATCATTTTATTTATATGGTCAGCTAATCTGAATGACTGAAGAGCCAAAAGTAAAGCACTTGTGCCTGCATAACCTCACCTGCTAGCCTACAATGCTGTGATCATCTGCCCATGTCACAGAGAGAACCCATCTCTAAAGAGGAGCATTAATTCCCTCCTGTCTTCGTTTTCTTGGGCGGATCAATGAAACCAACTGAAATCTCAGACAAGCATGGAAAACAAAGCAGCACATGGCACAGAAACATAGCCATTAAAAGTCATTTTCACCAGCTCTGATAATCTACTATCATAATAAAATAGAATATACTTAAGAGGGAAATTGAGTTCATCTTTCATCAGCCTCCCTGAGATCAATAATGACAAACTGCATTCTCTCCTCGTGGAGTAGACTTATTTAAATCATTTGTGATTCTGAGAACATGGGATATGGTGCTGCTTCAACCTTGTCACTCAGTATTTTTTTTTTAAATAATTTAACATGGGGAAATTCACATTACACAAAATGAGCCATTTGAAAGTAAACACTTCAGTGGCATTTAGTAAATTACAATATTGTGCAACCACCACTTCTATATAGTTTTGAAACATTTTCATTGCTCTAAAGTAAAACCCTTTACCCGTTAAGCACTTTCTCCCCATTACCCATTCCCCTCAGTCCTTGGCAGCCACCAATTTATGTTCTGTCTCTATGGATTAAATTATTCTGAATATTCCATGTCAATGGAATCATAGAATATGTCATATTTTGTGCTGCCTTTCTTCACCTAGCATAATATTTTAGAGATTCATCTATGCTATAGCATATATCACTACTCCATTTTATGATAAAAAATATTCTATTGTATGTCTATACTACACTTTTTAAAAATTTGTCTTTATTGTTGAAAGTATTACAGAAGTCCCCCACTTTCCCCCATTGACTCCCTCCA